CAATATATATATATATATATAAATATATATATAAATATATATATATATATATATATATGTATATATATATATATATATATATTAGTGCTTTTTTTCCTTTCATTCCTTTTATCAAAGTCCATTTCGTCTTCTGAAAATCTAAATTACAAAATATTTCTTACATTAAATCTATTTGGGATAGAGGAGATAGATTTATGTTGTTTAACAAAAACTTCTAGGTGTATTTTTTGAATTTAGAAGGGGCAAACTATATGAGACGAAAAATATAGTGTTGAGTGTCGTTTTAACATATAGACTGGACATACAAAGGAAAATACGCAAAACGAGTGTGAATGAAGATGCAGCAATTGAGTAAAAGCCAGCGTAGGAGTACACTAATTACAATATACTTACCTACAAATTTTAAGTTTGTGGCTCTTGAAAGAGATTTATATCGTTGATAATTGGTTGTATTGACTAATGACTTTTTTCGACCTCTGGTTTACGAGAAGTTATTATTATTGAAGCGAATAATGCTTAATTTATTTTGGTAACGACTGCTATCGTTTTACTTCTCGCAATTTTAATTAGTTACAAATACGCTAATATAAGTACAAAGATATCAATGTTTATGTATTTGGTATATTACACCAATACTGTGCAATTTTAAAATGGTTACTGTGATACTCCTCGAAAGGGATAAGTTCTGGTGAAAATAGTTTGATTTTCGCAAATTTAGAGTACCATGAGTTGGCCTCGAGCAAACAACCTCGTGGAAAATGATCCTTATTTTGATGGAATGAATTACTAAGAACGTGTTCTGCTTGATTTAATCACTTAAAGCCGCCTGGAACGGAAAACTATAAGAATTAATATAAGAAATGGAATTATTTCTAGTTTATAAATTGTATCGGTTTATGTCCTTGAGGATTTTGTGTAGGATTTCGTAGTGCTGATCAATTGATTATTTACTTTTTTTCAACCAGTAGCAATTCAGCTAGTATAAACATTAAAAAAAAAACAGCTAAGAAACTCAATCTTATAATTAATTTCTGACATTTAAACGTAAAATAAATAAGATTAAAGTTCAAGCTAAGAAACACCTTATTATTAAAAATTCATTAATCATTAACAACAAAAAATTTTGCAACTATTTTGCGTAACTATGAGAAAATCAATTATTTATAATCTTGTAAAGATACCTTAGAAGTGACATTTAAAAATGAGAACAGCTTCGCGCATTCAAAATCTTTTATTTAATCTGTTTCAAATTCCACTTTATGAAAACATTTTATTTCATTATATTCTTAGACTTTTGATTTTAAAACAATAAACTTTTGTTATTAAAGTAACAATTTTAAGGTTAAAAAACAAAAATGGTAATGCGGTACTTATTATCGTTATCACCTGATTTTGAAGCATATTGAACTGATAGTGTGAGAAACCTAACACATTTTTCATTGAACTATTATTAAAAGTATTAAGCTGATTTTTTTCTTAAAATTCCAGAAGAACTTGCGACCTATTATAATTTTTTTACAATGGCGCAATTTTCTTGTGCGCTTGTTATAGGTTGCATAGGTTTATTTTTTTCTGTGTATTTTATTGGTAAGTAAGCTATATTAGTTATGTTATTATTTCAATAATTTTATCTCGCTTTCGCATTTGTGATGGTTGAATCTCGATCATTTGCCGAATAGCTAGAGCACTCGAATTTCTATTAAAGATCTTTGTGTTATGACAATGCAAGTTTTAATCACTTCCACAATGCTACAAATAGAATTTATCACGATATAATCACTAAAGCGAATTTATCATATATCAAAATTCTAACCACCCTCCAACTATCATGAAGAATTCAGCTATCGATGACATTCTGAGTTTTCTGTCGGCTACAAACCTAATTTTTGTGGTATTTTCGCCAAAGAAGAATTAATTGTCATCTGTTCCGACTCACGACGCGATTGGAGCCTTGTATCAATGCAAGTTACTTTTTAAATGTTGAAAACAAAAGATTACTTTTTTGTCATTTGACACCTTTTACTCTTTAATAAAAGACTGGAAGGAATAAAATAAAGGTTGTAAAGAATATGGTACTAGGTGGAAGGAAATATTTTTATTTAGGCGCATTTAAAGAAATAGGGTGATAATATCCCAAAGGAATTTTCCCCACTTCTGTCTAGAGTGCGGTTTTTGTTTTAGGTGAGATACATATCGAAATATTTCTTCCTCTTTCGATATACATAATTTCTTTTTTTTCCATCATTTTCCACTTATTTTATGGGAAATTTTAAGTTATTGTGTGATCATTATATAAAATATGTATAAAATATATTTTATAAAATACATAATTATATAAAATAACAATAGAAAATATAAACTTTTTGAGTTACAAATGTAAAATTTCTTATTTTTTCACAAAAACATTTGAAATGTGGCATTTTCAGCACAAATTCATTGTTTAAAGCTAGCACTAAATTATGAAAGTTATAAATTTGTTATTATAGTGGTTTCTTTTGAAGCATTATAATTTTGAAGTTTCCCTTAATTAAATATTATAACAATGACATGGATTATTTCGAAAGGAAATTTTAATAAGAAAGGAAAATTTTGGTGAATACAGGGTTTTCGTATGAAGAGGAAGTTAAAAGAAACATTCAGAATGGGGGGGGGGGGGAAAAGGCTCTAAATCGTAGGAATCACTACTGAGAGAGGTGGAACTCACCAAAGTCTCATAATTCTTTTAAAGATTGTTTTTTAACTTCTCTCCTTTCGCGATACAATCAATGATTTCAGGCGCACCCTTCTTCATAGTCATTAAATAAATATCGATAACTTTTTTTTTTCCTTATTTAATTTCGTGGGGATATTGTTTTGACTTCTGTTATTTTTAATAATAATTAAACATTAAAAGCTGTCATAATCTAACACCCTAGATGTAATTTCTGCAGGGGCTTTTTTATTTTTCTAAACTGATGTCATTTTCAATATCTATTCTATTCTAATATCTAGTTTTTCAATGCAATTATATCTAGATGTAATCTATATTTTTACATTGTATTATATCTAGATGTAATCTACATTTTTACATTGTATATCTATATTTTTGCAAGTGTATTATAACAAATTCCTTTAAATAATTGCTACTTTGTCAATTCTATGTAGTGTTTTGCATGATAACTAGAGTTGGGCACTTCTAAATGCTTTCATAAAAGTTTTTTATAATTGAAAATGAATTTGTGACAGTCTTATATTTTAATTAGAAATAAATTAAGTACTAAAATGCAGCTATTTTTCAAAACGTGATATAAAATTTACAAAATAGCAATTGATTGAAAGAATTACTGCTCTTAAAAATATGCTTGCTTTTGGAAAGATATATTTTTGTGATGTAGGTGTTAAATGCATGTGCTGTACAATACATAGGATATATGCTGTATAATACATATGTATGTGTTATCAATAAACAAAAAATGAATAATTAAAAACTGTAGTAATAACTATAGTAACTAAAACATATGTAAAACCAAAATGGCTACTTTAGAAATGTTTTACAGTGTTTCACTATATTACTTTGGTGTAGTGAAACGCCGTTAAGTAGTTGTTTTGTGAAAAGTATAAAAAGTCCATGAGAAACCTTTTTTAATAATCTAAAGGAGCTGAGGAACCATTTCAATGCCGCATTCTGTATGAGTTTAATGGGACGTCAGGTGACATTTACAGTCCTTTTTACAAGGAAGGAAGCTATCCTCTTGGACTATGGTGTGAGTACAGAATTACAGCTCCAGTTGGATACGTAAGCAATCATAGTTGAATATTGAAAACTCTTATTACCATTTCACGAATTAATATTATCATAATGTTAATATTATCGGTTTAGATTAAACCAGAAGTTGGCCAAATCATCTAGTTCTTCGTTATAGCCAGACGAGTGTCCTTTAGAACAAATTCAAAATCAGCAGCTGTTAACATTACATAGGAGAAGTGCTTCCTTGTAAGAGAGTCAGATACCGCTTATAAAATAATTCTTTTAGATTAACTAAATAAATTAAATTGCTCGGTCTTCTCTTTTTTACCATGTAAGCTTAATGCGAAAATACTTTGACAATGATATTTTTACTTAAACTGTCAAAATAAAACTTTAAAACTTTATTTTCGAATAATTATTAAGTAAATATCAATATATTAAAAAAAGAGGATAATTTATGTTGTGAAAGAAGTAATTTTCTTAAAAGGGCGTCTCAAAGTTTTGAAGTAAATTTGTTCTACTATTATTTTTAATAGATTTAACAATACTTATGTAAAAATTTAATGACATATAATTAATAATTCATACATATTTTTAACGAGTTAGTTTTTTAATCAATTCAGTACCATCTTCCAGCTTTTCGGTGTATTCTATATACTTTAAAAGAAAATCGGTTAAAATATCAGTACCTTAAATCACAAACTTAAACAGTTTATCTTAAAATGATCTGAAGTTGAAACATTTGAAATGAACAGCGGTATTGCGAAATCAAGTTTAACTTATTTTATTTTGAACGATATTGTTATCGTTCATAGCATATTTTTATAACAATTTCGTATTTTAATCGATTATATGAATTTAAATTAGTAACCAAAACGTTAAAACTGTTATATGTATGGCACTTATTAACTTCTGATAATTTCTAATTATGGTGAAAAATGAGGAATTTTTATTTTTTAAGTTTACTTTTTTTTTGCAGAAGGTATATAGGGAATAATGGGAAGAAATGAAACATGTATTTTTTTAATACTTGAATTTTTATTTCTTTTCAAAATTCAGCTTCGCTACTTTTTAAATTATGGAGAATTGCATTCCGTTATGAGCCACTCTTCATTTAGTTCATGACGGAAGAAATATTAATTACAAAGTGTAATTGCGCCGAACCAGTGAAAACTAACTCTCTCCCCGCCTAAGAGGTAAAAAATGTCTCTAGAATAGTCTTAGAAAAATGTCTCTAGAATAGATTAAGGACATCAATTAAAATCATCCCCCCCCCAAAAAAAAAGGGAATGTAAAAAGGGTTGGCAAATTGGTGTGAGAAAACATACTGTCCGAGTGGTATAAGAAAAATCTCCTTTCGATGCACCAGACGGGCTTGACGGTTAGAATTTTTAACAGAGTAAAATTTCAAACACAGTACGTAACTCTTTTTGTAGCGTTTGAAGCTTACTTTCGTAGATGTAGACATTTATCCATACGACTTCTGCGCCGAGGCTGCTCTTATTGTTTATGCCAATGAGCAGGAATATGTGATCACGAAGATATGTGGAAAAGACAAACCGAGTCCAATCATTACAGAGCCTGGTGTAAACGTAGTGAGACTTCTTTTCACAACAGAATTCATTGGATTTGGAAAAGGTTTTCATTTGCGTTATGAAGCAGCACCATCATTTGGTAAGTAGAATTCTCAATTTATGACAATTACATTACTCCGACCTTCAAAAATTACCATTTACAGAAATGTTAAAGTGTTAAAACACAGAAGTGTAAAGTACGGAAAAGTTAACAGAAAACTTTACAGGGAATTATAATTATCATCACGTTAGGAATGTTAAATTGGTATTAGATAAACACAATGAATATATCGAAATGTACAGAATCTTTAAATAACTAAGAGTTCCACGAAATCTTCTTTGCTCGCCTGCATGCATGTATATATGTATTAGATTCTGTTATCTCTGCATTATGAGTTCCACGATGCACTCCGGATTCCAACAGCTTATTTCTTAATAGACATGCAAGAATATTTCAGAATTTATAGTATCTTTTTAAAATAGATATAACCCCATGATTATTCTTGATTCCTTCCCATGGATTCTTTTTTTTTTATTTATTTAATACATCTTATTTTTTTGTCCTTTTTGGATCCCGGTTAAAAAAAATTCAGGGGTTTTCTTTACTATATTAACGAATTTTTTTGTTTTGTTTGATTTTGATGCAGCTTAACCCCATTTAGTTCTTTTGTTATTTAGCTATGATCATAGTATGGGATAGGTTAGATCTAACATACAAATGTCCTTCTCCTTCGTCAGCAATACGGCATTCTAATTTTGAGTTGGTGGCATAGGTTTCTGACTTCAATAATGAATGGCTAAAAATGCAGTGTCATAACAGGGAATATAAATGAATTTTTCCAAAATTTGATTTTTTTTTTCGCATTCTCAGAAAGCTTGTACCGATTAGTCATGCAGTGTCTCGAAAATAATCGCAGATTTGATTCTCTGATTGAATATTAAGATTTAATTTTTAACAAAATAGAGAAAACTGAGACTAATTCAAACAAAATACTAAAAAAAATCTATTGAAAAAGCATATATAAAGAGTATATGGGTGATTCTCACGAAACATGACAATTCGGACCAAACATTTTCTTCAAATTTGAAGTCTTCAAAATAATCCAAAATTTTTTTTGTATACTTCTTTAGCTGCACTTATTAATATCTTATAGTGTAGTTTATTGATATTTGCTCGAGAAAAAAAATGAAATAGAAATTCACCAAACCTTGAATGCCAGGAAAATGGCAAATTATCTTAGAAGCTTAAAAAACAGTCATTTTAACTTAATAGTAAGTAACTCAACTTAAGCCTTTATGTTAGATGGACCATAAATTGCTTAAATTAATTCTTTTTATCCACTGTAGAAAGAAACAAAAAAAATTTTGTTGCTGATATGTACAGAATAAAATTGTGTATAATAATCAATCATTAAATAAATAAATAACTTTGATTACATCCAAATATATTTCAATCATACATAAACTTGGTATTAGGTTAATATTTGCTTTCCCTCTTTACAGTATTAGCAGTTAAAAAGAATTTCTGGCGAAACTTTAATGTCCTGGCATTCATAAGCCAGGAAAATGACAGCCAGGATAATGACAAATTCGCTATTTTATAGCATATAACTTTACTTTAATTTAATATTTTGACCGAAGACGTTTATATTCTGCAGAAAACAACAGTATTTCTTAAAATAACTCAGATAAATCTATGTAGTTTATGTTATTAATGATTTTAAGAAGCCAGGAAAATGATAGCATAAAAACCTACTCTCCTTGAAAAAATTTTTGAAATCGATTTTGAGCCAGAAAATTGGTTCTTTATTCATGCAACAAGACACGTTCAGATAGGAGGGTATGTAATCAATCTATTAACATAAAATATTGTTTCCTGCCGCTATCTATTTTGGCTATAAATCACTAAATAAAAGTAGCTAGGAAAGTGACAGATTTTCATGGGACAAACAAATTATTGACAGAAAAAATTATTTTAAACGAAGTTTTAGTAAACAATACCCTCTGCGTATATTCCAGAAATGCTTACATAGGATAAAATAAAAAATTAGATTTGATGTATGGGAAGTTTTGAAGCTAGTTATCATTGGAAATATTGTTTGGGACATGCCAGGAAAATGACATTTTGATATTCAATTAAATTTTTTAAGTATACAAAACAGTCAATGCTAGTGCAAAGTCATTTTAAAATGCTAACAGCAATGCTATTTATTAATTTTTTTAAAAAAAAAGTTCTTTTAGTATTATAGTATTAGATATTGGAGCAAGGGACAGTAAATTTCATGTTTCGTGAGAATCACCCATATATTCTTCGGAAATATACATTCCACTGACACCATTGTAATCGTCCCTCTTCTCATTAAACCTAGAATAAAATACCTCTTTTTTAATTAAATGACGTCATTTAAGTTTTGTCCATTTATATTCACTCCATTTAAATTACATTGTTAACACGTTGATTCTGATGAGCGATCGAAAAAACAGTTTTGCACATTTCAATAAGTATTTTATGATATATGTTTACATTATTGCAGTCAATAATGATCTTAATTATATAAAGTGTGTATTAATTAAGAGTTCGTTCTTCAGAAAAGTGCCCTCCGGAACACAGCGAATGCCACAACAGGGAATGTTACGATGCTTCAATCCATAAATGCGATGGAAAAGACGATTGTGGAGACGGAACAGATGAAGAAGGATGCAGTAAGTGATAAAAATAACAAACACTCTCTGTCTAGCCCTTTTAACAGGTTTTCATTATGGTTTTTATAAGGAAATCCGCATCATTATGGTTTTTATTAGGATATTATCCTCAATTTTCGACAAACACTTACAAAAATAATTACTTTTTATTATAAATAAACAATAATTTGTTGTACTAAATTATTCCGGCAATAAATTATTTTAGGAGCTGTTTCTACAACCCAGTAGCTTCAATAAACCAACTAGTTAATTTTTTTTTTTTAAAAATAAAACTGAAACTTGGATAATATGTGCATTTAATTTAGAAGAGTCATTTTATCTTTTTTAAAATAATATAATTCAACAGCTCTGTCATAAAGTTCTTGAGTAATTAACTTACTTAATTCTATTCAATTTACACAGTTTCAAAATGCAAAAGAATATGAAATGTTAGGATCATTAATTTTTCATTGAAATGGGAGAAGCAAATATCACAAAGACTGAAACAAAATTGTATCTCTCTACTTTTTTTAATTGTTTGCATCAGAGCTTGGTTTGTTTGCTCTAAATCCTCCCTTGTATAAATATAATCATACAATATACTTATTTTATTATTATAGATTTACCATTAGCAAAAGTTGAGTGTGGCAAACCTCCGATTGAGCCAGAGGCCATGTTTCCTGATAGAATAATCGGTGGACAAGAGGTCATTCCGGGTAGTTGGCCGTGGCAGATATCCATGCAAAGTCGAAACTTGTCTTTCAATTCCCATTCGTGCGGTGGCTCTTTAATCAATGCCCAATGGGTTCTTACAGCTGCTCACTGCTTTAAAGGGTAAGTCTTATCATGAATACCAATTACTCAATTAACATCTAAATTATTACTTTGGAATAATGCAGGAACTAAATAAAATTTCATAGCAGTTCTCTGATAATATTATTTCAAAATTTAATTTTCCTACTAGATCTAGCTCTAGCTCCTGAAGACCGAGCGGAAAATAACAAAAAAGCAAGTCATTCCTTTATTGCACATAACTTGTATGGCAAAATAAGACACTTTGGTGTCCCTGCAGAAAATGGCCAACAGTACGGACCCACGTATATCAGTATACATATGTCCACATGACTGTTGATGCCTGTATGACATCAAGTTCGTATGCTGATATTAACCAACACTAGTATTGATATCCAAATCTTTGACTATTGGCATCACTCATTCCATATTATTCATAATATTCAAATATCTGTGATTATTTTGAGTACATAATTTACATAAATCACAATTTTGTTTAAAGCAACAACAAAAAAATATTCACAAATGTGATTTAGCTTATTGTTTCTCATACGATAGGATGCAATAAAATTATATTATTAAGAGTTCCGGAAGTAAATTAATGCAGTTACTCCATATACTCCATTTATTTCAGAGCAATGCTGTAATATTGTAACTTATGGGATGAAGTTTCTATTAAATATATATTACTACATTTTATTAAACTGAAAATGCATGAGCACAAAAAAGAATTATTGTGGTTAAGGCAATAGTTCAATTAAATTATATGAATTAATGACAGTATGCGGCACCATTTAGTCATGTGTTCGACCATTTTACAAAGATTCTTTCGTACCTAAGTTTTTATTTCTATATAAATACAAAATTATTCTAGGCAAATATTTATGTATTACAAACTATTCAACGCTACTTAAAATATTACTTAAGAAAACCTAACAAAATGAATACTAACTCTAGTGTTACCAATAAATAGAAAAATACCCAAGTTTATTGTGCAGTATAAGGGAATTATATATATAATATATGGATAATGTTTAGCGTTAGATCAGTAAAGAAATCATAATTTTTTTCTTGGGTCATAGATTTAATATAAAGTGTTCATTGTGTTATGTTGCATTTTTGAATTTATATCCTTTGAAGAAAATTAAAGAAGGGGGCAAATTTTACTCATTTTAATGAATTTCTGGCGAAGTTTAAGGAAGGAAAATTTATGTTAAGAACAATTAAGATTACGATTAGATATTATCTTGCTACACATTTGACTTTTCAAGATGACTAATAATTATAATTTACATTAAAAGGATATTTTTCAGTGGAATAAGAAAATGCCACTTTTTATATTCTTTAAAAAAAATTTCGAAAAAAAAAACCTTTATAAACAAGAGAACATAAACAAGCCTTCATTCTCAAGAAAGACTTCATAAACAAAATATAAAAATATGTAAAAGTGACTTCATTCTTCCTGACATTAGAATGAACGTTATGATATTTTTAAAAAAATATTTATTATAATAAATGAGTACAAAATGTTGCTTTTTAATAATTTGCATCTTAAGTATTAATTATGTGTTTCAGGAGTACAGTAGCAGCTAACTGGAAAGTCCATATAGGCAAGCATCACAAATATTTTACAGACCCTCAAGAACAGATTCGCTATGTTGAGAGAATAATTATATGGCCTGACAAAACTGGTGATCAAGTAAATTAAGATACTATGACAGCATTATACATTTTTTTTTAAGAAAAAAGGATGGTTTATTTCACTTAAAATTTTGGAATCATACGATTATGACAACCTAGGAGAGTCAAATGAGTTTTACTGATCAAATATTTTTGAAAATCTCCATGAGATTTCGTGCTCCTTTATCTTTGTACGGGAAAGTAGGGTGTATTATGAGAAGCCATGTTCGAAATTTCGAGAGAAAAGAAAATGATTAAATAACTACTTATTAAGGTGTTAGTATACGTTATTCAAACAAAAATAAGATAGAATTCAAACAGTAAGAAAACCGCAGTGCATCAACTATGCCCACCTAATGAAGCCACTTAGTTAGCTCGGTACATATTATAGCCGAGAGGGCTGTCAATCTTATATCTGATGGAAAGGGAGTCTCAGCACTGACATCCTAATATTTCGCTCATTATCTTAAGCACAAGAAGATTATCTGGCACTCCGCAATGTGTGACCGTGGAGTATTAGCATATGAAAATCTCGTTCACGCATAGATGGCAGCATCATAAAGCTGCTTAACACAAAAGAGTCTAACATTTTCCATCTCTAGTACTTCGATCATTTTATAACCATGCTAGATCTAAATGACTAAAAAACAGCATAGATTTGCATTTATGGCTAAAAAGCAATATAGCTTTATATTTATATTTTTTTTACCATACAAGTTGTAAATAGTTTTTTGAGACGTAATCCAATTAACCGTAAGCCTTACGGTTAATTGAATGGACGGACTGCTGTCGGTTATTTTACCATGAGTTTAGAATAAAAACCCTAACAGTGCATCTCTTCAGAAGATATCCTTCTTACTATGTATGTCAGTAACCGTATTTTTCATTATTTAGAGAAATATCATAATGATCCAAACGTTTAATTTCCTTTTGGACTAATATTGTTGGATAGCACAAAATTTTTTTCATAATCTATATATATAAAAATGAATGTGTGTCTGTCTGTATGTATGTCCTTTATGGACTCCTAAACCAAATGACCAAATGCTATGAAACTTGGCATACAGATAGATCAAAGCACGAGGAAGGTCACTGTCGACATTAAAACATTCTGTTCCAGCTGTATGACCAAAAATCGAAATGGAATTTTATGATTGGTTAAAAGTTAGCCATTGTTTTAAATTTTGCTATAAGCGATTCAGTTTTCAAATATCTTAAAGATAACAACAATGATATTTTCTATCTTATAGATCTATTCATTTAGAAAAGTAAATTAAAGTAAATTACATATACTTCAATATTTAATTATAATTCGAGCAAGTTTCTGTATGTCAGGTGAGCACAAGCAAGTAAAACCAACGAGAATAGATTTTTTTATTTATTGGTCGTATCACGGATTTAGTATTGTGAAAGCCGTTTAATAAATATCAATGCAAAAGCAAATTTCATTCAAATTGGACGTTTTCCATAATTATTTATATTTAGTATGCAATTTTAGGTTAGCACAATTAAATATAGTTTTCGAAGATTTCATTGCTGTGACAGTTGTCATTTGAAAACTATTAGATTTTTTATTATTCGAATTCATTCATTTTATTTCTTTCATTTAAAAAAAAAAGATTTTTGTTTTAAATTTTATAATTTTTATATTTCTTATTTACTTCATTTTTATTGTTTTTTCTATTATTTAAAATATATACGTGAATTTTCGGTTTAGCAAATTTGTGACCACTGTCAACTTTTACAATTCTTTTTGTTTGTGAGGGGAAATATTTTCAAAAATATGCAGCCTAAACGAATCGCCCTTAGTCGATTGACGCCTGAAGCGCGCAAAAAGAAAACTACCCGTGTTTCAGAAACATTGGAGCAACGGGAAAAAACTTGAAATTAATCGAGAACACAATGCTTTTGCCCGTTCCTTAGAAACGTCTGAGCAACAGGAAAGAAGACTATTAACAAATCAACTACGCACAACCCAAGCCCGTTCGTCGGAAACATCAGAGCAACGAGAAGCAAAACTAAAAACCAATCAAGAGAGCACTTCGCTATTCAGACGCTGCCGAAACTCTGATTTGAATCTCAGTGCATTTCACTATGATCCGACAACCATCTATAGTCATCACCCAAGCGTCATCATCGGAAAAATGGATCATTTATGTATGTTTTGTAATGCTCTAAAATTTGAGAATGAAACAGCTGGAATTCGCTGTTCTGGAGGCAAAGTAAAACTACCAGATTTAACGTCGCCAGCCGAGCCATTATCAACGCTCTTATCAAGTCAAACAAATCAATATAAACATTTTTGGGCGAATATACGTCGGTACAATTCGTGTTTCCAAATGATTTCATTCAGTGCTACACGCATCGTGAATGAGAATTACATGCCAACATTCAAAGTGCAAGGCCAAATTTATCATCGTGCAGGATCACTTCTTTCATTGCTTGGCGGAGATCATAAATTTCTACAGATTTATTTCACGGGTAACACAAATGATCAAGTCAATCAACGTTGTCAGTTAAACAATGGCACTAAACGAGAAATTGTTACCTCATTACAAAATATTTTCAATCAACATAATCAGTTAATTAGGCTGTTCAGAACTACACTGGACAAAATGCCTTTCGATAATTACAAAGTTGTTATTAGAGCTGACAAAACACCTGCAGGCCACCACAAAGGAAAATACAATGCACCAGCATTGGACGAGGTGGCTATAGTTATAGTTGGCGAAGAATTTACCTCCCGCGATATAGTTCTTTATCGCAGAAATGGTGACGTTCAAAGAGTCTCAGAAACGCATCGATCATATGATGCATTGCAATATCCTATTTTATTTTGGCAAGGAGTGGATGGATACCATTTTAACACAAAATTGAGAAATCCACAAACAGGCGAGAAAACCAATACGAAAGTTTGTGCCATGAATTTTTATTCTTATAGATTGATGATTCGTCAAGATACTGATAATCACATCTTAAAATGTCGACAATTATTTCATCAATACATTATTGATATGTATGCGAAAATTGAAACCGAACGCCTACTGTATATTTAATTAAATCAAACCAAATTACGTTCAGAAGAATACATTCATTTACGGCATGCAATAATTAATGAAGGTAACGTTAATCCTAATGATGTGGGAAAAATGATTATACTGCCGGCTACATTTACAGGGACTTCAAGGCACTTGTATGAATATTCACAGGATGCCATAACATATGTTCGCGCATATGGGCACCCAGATTTATTTATTACATTTACACGCATTCCTGCTTGGGTTGAAATTAAAGAGCTTTTGTTACTAGGAGAATCATCATCGGATCGTCATGATATTACAGCATGTGTGTTCAAGCAAAACTTAAAATATTTACTTGATTTCCTTGTGAGGCGCCATGTTTTTGGAGAGACACGGTGTTGGATGTACTCTATTGAATAGCAAAAATGAGGATTGCCACATGCAGTGGCGTAGCTAGGTAACCAAGGGCCCCGGGGCAAATTAAAAGATGGGGCCCCACTGCTATGTAAACTGATTAGGTTCTACAAATAAAAATATGAAATACACAAATACTTTAAAAATGCTAAGCTACTTAAGCTCTTTTTTTTGCACTGCTGGGCAGGTAATAAAAATATTAAACAGTGACAACATAAATTACAATGAATACTTGGTGTAGGTTTGGCTAATAAAACGAAAAAGAGAAGATTCAAGGGCTTATTATATAAAGGTCGGGCCTACCAACGGACTAAATAACAATTATATTTACAATTTTTTCCTAGCTTTAGTTTTCGCAAAGGTATCAATGACTTCGTTTAAATCCAGGCTTGATGCGGTTTTGTTTTCACTTCGTATTAACGATAAATGTCGGAATCGAGTTTGGCCCATATTATTTCTTAAATAATTTTTAATTATTTTTAATTTGCTAAATGACCTTTCAGCTGCTGCAGAAGTGACAGGAATTGTAAAGAATAATAACATTGCTGTAAATACTTCCGTTAGGTCAAATTCTAGCACTCCATATTTGCTCATTATTTCCCTACATAATTGGTGAACAGTCCATGCTTGAGTTTGTTGAGATAAAACTAGGTGGTAAATATTAATAAATTGAAGTGAAAAACTAGGGCCTATTATATCTGAATATTTTCTTTGGAATTCGTCACACTTTTGTAATAAAGTTGCTTCATCAACATGTAATAAAAATGTTGGTGTTAGAAAATCGAATATATGACAGACTGCACTCATACCAATAAAACGTGTATCTAATTGAGATATTACTGTGTCTAGTACATTATTGAAAATCTCAATTTTAAATATTTTTTCTCGGTTTGGAAATCGGTGATCAGCAGCTAATTCATCAAAATGTTTTTTAACTTTTCTTTGCCTTTTTTCTTGAAAATGGGTATCAATACCATATTTTCTTGCAGTTTCACTGGCTTTGCACTTGAATAATTCGAAATCATTTCTATAAATTTGCAACTTTGCTTTGGTCTCTGCTAAAACTTTACTCGCCTCGCCCAAATTGATGTCGCATTTTTGTAAAGTTTTGGATGCATAATTGATGTCGTATAGATTAGGAGTAGCTAAGCGAAATGTAATGTAAAACAAACAAAAGTTAAAAAATTTGTAAAAAAAGCACTTAAAATCACAATAGCTTTCGAACAAATTAGAATTTTGACGGAAAAAAAAACTCACTGTTAAATTCAGANTTTGTTAATATCAAAATAACGAAGTTTTATTGCAGATATCGTATTGACCCAACTGGACCATCTAGTCGGATTCAGTTTTTTTAGAGTAGTGTCCGACTAGCCAGTGAATTTTGACAGTAGATCCCAACGTTTGATGCTGTTTCCAAAAAGGTTATACAAATCTTGCAACGTTGCGAAAAAAATCTGTATTTCCACACAACTGCTAACGGCATCATTTATCACCAAATTTAAATTATGAGTGGCACAATGTACGTACTCTGCGTTAGGCTGGATATCCTTAATATGTTTTTGTACGCCATTATACACATCACTCA